TCCCGCAATGTAAATGGCACTTTCATGTCTGGTTGGATCATGTCTTCCAGTTACATTTTTGGAGCAAGTCTCGCAGAATTTCTTCGTTTTGCTGGTGTGCAACATGCATTTTGGACGTACAAAATGCGTACTTCTGTGTTACGGACTTTCATCAGCTCTAGCTCTAGTCAGCTCTAGTTCCAGTCAGCTCTCTAGCTCTAGGTCGCTCTAGCTCTAGTCAGCTTTAGCTCCAGTTAGCTAAAGCGGTTTGGAAGGATGTCTCGTACATTCCGAGTGTGCAAGTAACATTCCGAGTGCAAGTTGTGGACCTGGCTGTCAGATAGTGAGTTTCCTTCCAGAGGAGCCTTCTACATTCCGCGGCTGTTTGGTTGCTTTACGTCGAAAACAACACTGGCTGCAGATGATTTGCTTTGTTAACAGGTCAGTTTGTACTTACGGTTTAAGTTTTTGGCGCAGTTCATACTTACAGTCTTTGGTTGCATTCATTGTTAAGACTCTGGTTGCGCATGTATGACAGGTTGTACACGCAAGTTCGGAGTCCTGTGTAACTGCATTCACTCCGACGTGCGGTGGTGTGACCCGCATACACAGTGCCAGAGCGACTACGCCGTTGTGGGCTGCTTGCATGACGCCATCGTTGCGGGCCGGGAAGAAAGGGGGTCCGCAGGGCATGTGCGAAGGGACACTCCTATTACTATAGGTCAAATTGTTTTTATAGGAAACTTCCGCCGCCGGCTTGCCCGGGTACTGCTTGTAGAAAAATGTCTTGGTGATTTGTTAGAGTCAAAGGCGTGAAACAAACACGCTCCAACTCTCTTTGCCAGAACTTGCTCATTGGGCATCTCCATCTTTTCCTTGAAATCGCTCTGCTCCTCACACAAACCCAAACACACCACTGCCACCGTCACCGAGAGACCGGTTTGGACGCTGATCCAGAAAGAAGCCCGTCTTGTGACCATGCCACACATCGACCTGCAGACCGAACTCTGCTCCGGACTGACAACATACAGTCCAACTACGCAAACGAAAAGATTCAAAAGTCCCACATAGTCCCACTACTTCCTAGATTCCAGGTAGCCTTTTGAAGTCTTTGGAAGAGTCCTCCTCAACTTTCTCAAGTTGTCTTCCTCAAAGATGTCTTTCTCTTTCTTTCCGCTTTGTCTACGCCAAAGGTATGAATATTCATGTCAGCTGCCTCATAGAGTACTCCATTCTCCTCGAAGACGGATCTGTTCGGGGGAACCTCACCCCAAAGTGTCTCCTCGCTGTCTTTGCGAATCCTGAGATGAAAATGGCTGATCAAATTGCCAAGGCTTATATAGGCACATCAAAAGCCTACTAGGCCTGGCCTAGGTCACCGTTCACCAGTGGAGGCAAGTCCAAAACACCTGCTTCCATCTTGTGTGTGAATGCGGATTGCATCCAAGAGTCACTCCACTCAGAGCGTATCCTGGCAAAGCGCCACTCTTTGTGACGTGCCCAATGACTAACTGGAGTCTTAAACCTTTTTTGCCCCAGACGCATGGGGAAAATGCCTACCAACTCCGTGACCTCATGGGGTTCTCCAAGGAAGCTTGTGTGAAGATCTGAAAAATATAAAGTGAGGAAAAATCTAAAGGAGAAAAGTTGAGACGCAACCCGATGCAACCCTCTACACCCTTCTTATACCCTTTGTATCCGTCTTTCCACTATTCATCTTGTCCCTCAACGAGTTCTTCCTGCTCAATGTGGCCCTCCGCCCGTGGCCGCTCCAGAATCTGCGAAGGCATCAATGATGCTGGTGAGCCTTCTGAAAGCATCGAGGCTTGGCCAGAACGATGAATTCGCTTGCATGTTTGGCAGTCTACCTGATTCCAAAAGCACTCCAACAAACAGGTACAAACAAGCTGAAACTCCACTGGTGTTGCGGGCTTCTACTGACATGTCCTGATCCTGATCATGTTTCGGGCAGAAAACACATCCAGGAAACTCCTAAGAAAACTCCCATGGCATGTCAAAATGCCACTGACCAACCACTACAGGCATCTAATATGTCCCTTGCAATGAACCGCTAACACTACCTCTGTCTTTCTCGCCTGGGGCGCCAAAAGGCCTCGGCCCCTCGGCCATCGAAGCCGCACACGCCCAGCGAGCCATAGACGTCCAGGATGAGGCCGGGGGTCCCGTCGGCTTCCTCAGGGCCGTTCGTCCCGACGGCGAACGGTCGGACGGCGAACGGCCGCGTCACCGCGTCACCGCACCAGTATCGGTCATGCAGCGTTGGAAACGGTGGTGAAATTCGGTCCCTTGCTTTTTGACTTCGAGATGCAACAGCTGTCGGGCCTCGAAACCTCACCGAGTCCCGATCCACTTGAGGCGCGGGCTCCATGCAGCAGCCGTAGCCCAGTACAGCGTTTCTGTTCGAGTTCTTGTCGCTCTGCGGCCGCGTGGCGCACCAGGCTGGGTGCCCAAGCGCTGACATCTGGCGATGGGACCGTCACCCGGCATCGGAGATGGTAACAATGCCAGGAGCCCCTAGTAGCTTCTTGTTACTAGTAGCGATGCACTTGTTACTAGTAGCTTCTTGTTCCTAGTAGTACGGCCAGGAGCCCCTAGTAGCGTCCTTGCTCCTAGTAGCGATGCCAGCCCCTGGTAGCTTCTGAACAGGTCCAAGGAGGCGTTCTTCGGACGGGCCAAGTGGCGTTTTTAGGAATATGCTTGGCGGGGTCTAAGTGCTTCTTGTAGGCGTGCATCATGAGGGGTAGAGACACCATGAAGCTGAGAAGTGAATCGAAAAAGGGCTGGGAATTGAACCTGAAGTCTAAAGGCTTGAAATCGAGTTTAAACATAACTAAACCCTATTCTGCACCTGGCTCTGTTTCACGCTGTGCCTACTCCTTTCACTCAACAGATTCGCGCAGAACACATGTGTCTACATACGTGTATATATATAATATATGTTTTTTTTGCTAGAAGCTGTTGCTCCTCATGAATGGCCTCTTTGGCCAATTGTTTTTCCAACATCTGATAGCCAAGAAGCAAAGCACCCCCAAAATACCGCAACTGAATCACAAAGAAGAATTGTTGCATTTATGTATACTTATTGGAATCTCCTACCAGGTTGCAATCAAGAAGGACGACAAAACTGGGATTCGAATGCACCACCAGAGTTTTAACCGCCAAGGAAGTGGTTGAAAATTAGACACAAACTTCTGTGCATCCTTCCAAAGGGGATGATCAAATTTCACTAAAGCCCTGTGCAGATAGAGAACGCCGCCTATATTGATTATTCAAAATTAAACCCCTGGAATTAAACCTCTGGAAATAGCAACAGACAGAAGGGGTGTATATATATATATGAAGCTCTGGGCCTAAATTTGAATTTACACCGTGTTGAGCTCAAGATGCAGCCCTATTTGCGAAGAGACAAGGAAAGGGAGGGACGGAGGGAGGGAGGGAGGGGAGGGAGAGCGGGAGAGAGAGAGAGAGAGAGGCATCGCTCTTGATGAACAACGTACAATTTGTGGAGCTGAAAAAGAATCCGTGTAAGGCCGAGCAATGAAGGGGGTCACTCAGGAGCAACTACAGTATTATTTGCTCTCATGCCACTTAGACTTTCTCCAAGTCCAATGATTCTAGTTCAATGACACACCAAATTTGGCCTGGTCTCAGTTGATCTCCTGGCCACCACAGCAGGCGAACCTGGTTCGGTCATGAATCTATACAGCTGTCTTTCGCGCGGTGAAACGAATAGCTCTTCAGGATCATGTTGTTGACCCATCTCTCTCTCTCTCTCTCACCCAGCATCATGTCACACATCGGGTTGAGAAACATTTGGCGTGATATCTGGATCAGATACTGGATGATATTGTGAGATACATGAGAGGTGTCGCTTAGAAGGGTATCCCGGGCATAACTGTCTACACCCATGGGGTCGTAGGGTATCCTACATCTTGCCAAGATACACGCAAGGGTGAGTGGGGGTCGTAGAATCCGGATGCCAAGAGCTCTTTCTTCCAGAAGACATCCACAAGGCTTCCGGCTGGTATCCTTATTTGCAGTGCCCAGGAGCCGTTGTCAAAGCTTGGTATCTAGTGGCCCGAGCAAGAAATGGACTGAACTCAGAATCCTTCATTAATATCGAATTGAAGCAGGATTCTCTGCCTTTGTGGCCAACGAATGAGAACTGTCATGACATGATGTACAGCCGAAGACTACTACTTACTTCTGGTAATTTCTGCCGGGTACTCATGTGGGAATTCCAAGTGTGGCCAAGCTTCTCTGGCGTTCCCCGCAAGGCTCTGTCGAAGAGCCACGGATGCCTCCTTTTCACCGATTTCCTGAGGTCCTCCACAGCACAAGAGTTACGGGGAACGTCAGTGCCGAGAAGAGCCCAAGGGGATCATGTCATTGTCAGCGGAAGTTCTCCAAATGTCTATTACTTGACCATACGCGACAACTCATGACTCATGACCAACTATTAACTACTAACTATCAAAATGGTCCACTGCCCTCGAGAGGAGCACATGCTGACCCTGCTAACTGCGAGTGACTCGACGTCCATCGAGCTCTGAAGTGCTGTCCTTCGCAAGCCACACCTTTGTCACAAAGCAATGGAGGTGTCCCAAAGCCAGAGCCTGAGTGCATAGTGGAAAAAGACAGTTTGGATCAAAGTCATCCATAATCAAAGGGTCAAAACTGCGGAGAGCCTCAGATATCCTAAGTCATCTACATAGGTTGGACTGGACGAGTCAATATAGGAGGTCTAAGAGGTTTCTATTTCTTCTGACATGGCTCGCAACTTCGTCAACATGAAGTCGTCCTTTCTTTCCGCTCGTGACCAATTTCCACTGAGTCCACTTGTTTATGGTAAAGGCACCAGGAGCAAGAGCCATGGCGCACTCAGTCGGCACCCCCCCCATGCCATGGATGCATCAAATGGAACCATATTCCACGTGGGGTGAACGATCTGACCTGGTCGACAGGACTGAGAAACCTGGTCGACAGGACTCGACCATCTCTGAAGTTTCAGAAGTTGAGAACTTAAGGTCTTTACATGTATTTGTTTGACAAATGCACTTTCATCTCTTTGCAAAGCCTCTGAGGGCTTGGGCTTACCATTCAAACAGCAAGGTGTCCAAGTCAGCTTCAAGACTAAGTGGGCAACGGAAATGCAGCCAGTGCAAGTGTCTCAAGAAAAAGGCTTAGTAGCTTATATAATCTTATATATAGATAATGATAGATAGTATGTCTGAGCTTCTCGAACTCGCTTTCTTGTCCGAGCAAAATGTTCTTGAGGACTCGCTTTCTTGTCCGAGCAAAAAGTGGTCGAGGACAGGAATAGAAGAAAACCCAAAACCCTCGTGCCCTGAATGCCAGTTGTCTCCTCGCACTTGTTGTAAACTTTGGGGAAGCCCAGCTCAGCAAGGTGCTTCACCACACTACCCGCACAAAAGAACGGGTCATAGATGCGCAGCTTCTTAGGGCTTTTGCCTTGAAGGGTCGTGTGTAGGATCAAAGAAAAGCTCTGCAAGAGCAACTTCCCCAGCACCAGAATGGCTTGAGAATATTCAACATGTTCCTCATCTTCGTCCAAGCGACTTAGCAGTGAAGCCTTGGCTATCAGGTGGCTATCAGTGATTGTTTGCCCAGTAGCTGCACATTACTTGGAAGATATCAATTAATTACAGTCAATGAATGAAATGTAGACCTACACAAAGAGCTTCTTCATTCCTTGTTAACTTGTTGAGATGTTCTCTCTTTACATCTCTTGGCCGCTACATGCACCGCAGCGGAAGTTTATCACTAGAGGTTCTGGGGAGGACACAGTTCACCAGCAGCAACAGCAAAGAAGAAAGACCACCGGAAAGGGTCACAATGCAAGGCTTTGACCTGACTAGCACGGCAGTGATCCACGAAAGGTTTGAAAGGGCAAGAACACATTCAAAACTGCTCAACAAAGGCCACTGGTCGATGAAACACAGATAGCAGCCAGCACCCGCCCAGTCCGACCAAAGACCCGCCAGTCCAATCAAGCCTTCGATTTTGCCCCAGGAAAGGGACGGAGTCTTCACCAGGGACAGTTCACAGGACTTCAGCACCTGCTCATCGCTACTTGAGACAGGAGGGGGTGAACGAAAGGTAGCAGGCAATCACAAGCAACCCTGGTAAAAGTCCATGACGGCGTGAACCGGCGCAGGGGGGATTTGATCCAGGGGGGGCCCCCCCCGACGAACAGAATCAACTCTTACAGGACCAAACTCAATGCACAATCCCAACTCCTGATTGTAATACATTTTTGCTAAAGCAAGGAGAACTCAGGTAGCTCAAGCTACCTTTCGTGATTTGTACGCCGTTCCACCGCCATAACCCAAAAAAAAATGCCACCGAAAACAGTCTGTGGCTGTGCTACTCCCTTAATTGTATGGGTTAAGGTCGACTTCACTGCAATTGAGCAGGCAGCAGGCTCTTCGAAGGCTCTGTTCGCATCGCTACTAGTAACAAGGGCATTACTGTGTGGCATTTCTACTAGTAACAAGATCTCCCCGGTCCTTTTTTGGTCATGATGGGAAGCCGTGCACTTCAACGCTCGCCGCGTCTCTACCACTGGCGAAAATCGTCACCCCACTCAGCATAGTGTTTTGCCGCTGCGTCCTGTCCACTGAACCATTCTCAGTCCTCTGCTAAACTGTTGCTCTATAGTGGCATCTGAAAAAAGACCATAGCATGAAATGTGAATGAGCCAAGCAAAGTATCTGTGTTCTTTCTCAGCCTTGACGTAGGCATTGTACACCAATGGAGTTGCCCTCAGATCTGTGGTCTGGGCACCTTTTGCCATCCTGCGAGAGCTTCCTTTCTTGGCAAGTGAGGGTGCGTTGTTCTATAGGTTTGGTCTCTAAGAATGCACAAATCAAGCGCACAAGCTGTTTCTGACCGTACGAATGGACAAAAAGACAAACACCTGCCTGATGCCTTCATGTGAAATGAACCGTGTCCTGTAGATGGTGTAGTAGTGCTTTCGTTCCAAGGTTGGTGCTGGAGGCGTTGGACAAACCTGCCAAATCAGGTCAGCCTAATGAATCCCAAATCCGCTGAGCAAGGCACCTCGGCGGATTCAATATCCTTGGAGTCTGAAGTTGAATGGGTTCGTCACTGTTCTCACCAAGCATAAAAAGCATCAGTTTCCGCATACTTCAGAGCCAAAAAGCCAAATGTGTTGGGAAAATACCAAACAAAAGGCAAGCCTTTAGGCCCATCCCCCACAGGTCCCCCCCAAACTACAGGTCCCCACATACCGGGGTCACGAACGCCCCGGTAGGTTGGTGGTTCCGATGCTAACCTCGCTCGCCTCGCCTCGCTGTAGTGGTTCCGATGGTGGCAGGAAGGTACCACATCGGCATACTGAACGGATCCCATCATCACGGGCGGGTTGAACTTGAAGACGCTGAAGTACGCGAGGCCCGTCGCCAGCCCGCACTCCAGGCCGTACCTGGTGAAACAGCATGCGGAGAAGGTGGGCGAGGAAAAGGAACCAGAAGGTGAAGGTCTGGTACTAAGCATGTGAGTTTCAAAAGACCAGATGTTCAGCATGTTCAGTTTGAAGGTTTGGTACGGTTTGCAAGATGTTCAGCATTCATTAGAACAGGGATCAGCCCGCAGTTAAAAAGGACATATGCCAAGCCGGTTCACGAGCCTTGTTTTAATTACTGGCGGGTACTCGCTTGCAAGCGGACACCCCCACAAAGAAAACAGTAATGAAAAATGTGCTTCGTTTGTACCACGAAGGTTGGTGTCAATTGGATCGGAAAAAATACAGTAGAAGTAGAAAACACACAATTGTTACCGTTTTTGCAGGGCCCTTGGTAAAAATAGATCCAGCTGAGGGACCCGGGCAAAGGCACGTTAAATACATAAGTCGAGTTCTTCCCTTTTGTATCGCAAATGTTAACATAACATAATCACATATGTTTGTTCAACGCTTTTCGGTGTAGTTCCCGGATTTCGGTAAGAAGGTTGCTTTTGACGTTTTATCGCTTTCTAGCAGAGGGGCCCAAGCAAAACGAAGAAAAACACACGACTTTACTTTACCGTGATTACTGCGGAAGTGCCTCACAGGAACCCCGATAACAGTGCTAAAACCAGCACGGGAAATGTGTTATAGGCGATCAAGGTTGTGGAGAATAGACAACAATATTAGCTTCAGACACGCTGCAGACCTTCCTTGTTGGAGAAGTAAGGCATGGGCGAGTTCATGGTCCTGGAAGCAGCAACTCACCCGAATGGGGCACATCTCTGGAGAGTTGTGACATGGAAACGGCAATACAAACATGAACAAGCCAGAAAACCGGCGTTCAGCGCTTTCAGGATGTCTATAGATGTTTTTAGGTGCTGCAGTTGCAGCTCCTCAATCTCATTGCATCTGTCATGGTCGCAGCCATGCCAACATCACCCCAGGCTCCCCACTGAATTGCCAGTGACGGCTTGCCTTTCGCCTGCAATGCGTGTGATGCGACTGAGCACAAAGGATGTCCAAAAACAAAGGCTCTCTAAATTTGCGAAGCTGGCACTAGGAAAGTCGCACTGGCAAATGGTTAAATTGAGAGGCCAAGGTGTGTATATGCGTTCGCAGCACTTCCGGGTTTGTCCTTTGCATTATCTAAGCTTCACATGTCTCAGACTTCGTCTCACCAGACTTGCATCGACGTGCCCCGACCTTTCGGTGACGTGTGAGGACATCCAGGAAAGAGTTGGAGCCCGAATAGTTGAGCTGACCCATGTTGCCATAGACGGAGGTGGAAGAGAAGTTCCACATGAACTGAAAGTTCTTCTGGGGATTGTTCTCTAGGGCGTAGTGCAGGAACAGAGCTGCATGGTGCTTGGACCTTGTGCGAAGGGCCAAGGAGACTTCGGCGAAAACAACATTGGCTTACAGCCACCTCCGAAGCCCAACAAATCACTTTTCAAACAGGCTGTCCTGCAAACGTTTGGGTGGTGGGTTGCCCTCTGGTGACCAGGGGTCAGGGGTCCAAACTTTTCCAGTGTGCAGTTTGAGCTGTCCCCCAAGAAACAAAAGGAAGAACAAAAGCACATGATGGCTCAGAAACTGATAAACGGTCTCAAACTTCTCCCAAGTGAGGTTCATGAGCATGGAATCTTGCAAGACGCCAGCAGAGTGAATGAAGCCGTACCTTCAGAAGCGAAGACTCAAGACATGTTCAAGACAAGTTCAAGTTTATAAGTGTGCGCTTCTATGGAAGGAATGGGCACGAGCAAATCTCAGACTGGTTCAATCAATGGCTTCCGAAAAGCCCTGCCAAAGACTGATACTATCTTGGTCTGTGAGGCACAACTCTCCATTGAGCTTCTCAATGAAGTTGCAGCAGCCCTCCTTGGAGGACATGTCCATCTTTCCTCCGAGCAATATGAGGAGGCTTGGCAATTTAAACTCTCACATTGTCCGCTCTGCATTAGGTCCCACGGTGTAAATGTTTTCCGTATGTTATTCTCAGGTCTATACTTGAAAAGCTTACAGTGGATGATCTGGTAAAGTGCTTCGCTCCTTGCTCCACTCGCACGCCCAACTTGGCAGCTTTTGCTTCAATATCCTTCCACAAAGGCATGTTCAAGTCCTCAGATCTTGCAGATCTTCAAAAGAATTCCAGAAATCCAGACCTCAAAATGTTGTTGGCAGCAGAAAAGAGATGAAAAGGAGAAGGCGTTCTGAACCTGAGGGTGTTGAAAAGCGTGTTGGCTTATGAGAACCTTGAGGGACCATGAGGGACTCATGCTGCATCTTGGGCTCTGAGATCTTCATTGATCTGGAGAGAAATTGGATTTGGAAGCCCGATTTCCCTTGCTCGGCAGCCTCGCGTGAAGTCCAAATCCACAAACCATAGAGGCTCAACAACTGTCAACTTCCACCCAGATCTGGCCTTGTCCAAGAGCCAGTTACCCATGACCAAACCCAGGGCACCATTTCCTCCTGAAATACAGATGACGCCACTGTTAGGCAGTGGAAACTCCTGGCAGCACAAGACGCTCAGCAATGTAATAAAGGGGTTGGATATACATGCGTATATATATATATACAAATATGGATTTGACATTCAAAAATGATACATTCGGCTGCAGAAAGCTGTGCTCCTTGTTGGCTGCCTGATACACCTTTGACGAGACTCGCTTCTGCACATACCTTGGACATATGCCAAAGCCATCGAGACTTGACGTCAGAACTTGAATGGCATCGACATCGACAGTTCCCTGGGTTCCGTGCCTCCCTGATTCCAGGATTCGCACGTCAATCATGCCAAAGGTGGTGTCCCGAAAGGCTTCCGCCGCCACAGAGGCCCAAAGCGGGCTGTCCTCCTCCATGAAGTACCTTAGGCAGATTCGCTATGTCTGGGGCTGGGGTTGGTGGCTCTCTGGGGCTGGGTGCGTTTCTTCTTTGAGTCTCGTTTCTGCATACCCCTGCAGAGAATGGCATCCATTCTTGGGATCGGCCTCTGCTGTCCTAACAACCGATGCATTGAGCAAGCGACTGTCCTGTTCACTGTAAAACAACCGATCGAACCAAAAAAGAAGAAAAGACATCCTTCCCGGTCTAGAGAGAGCTGGGACGGTCCACAATTTGTGACCGACCATCGGTGACCGAGGTCTGCATCCCACGGCATCCCACGGTCAAGATGCTCTGTGTCACAGAAGTGCAAATCCACACCTTCCAGCTCCTCACAAAAGCCGGCTCTGCAGCTCTTTTTTTGGGGGAGGGGAGTTGGTTTCACTCAAGGGCAGAGGGGGGTTAGTTTCATTCGATGGCGGACGCGATGACCGGTTTAAAGGGTGTTTCACAACACCAAGAAATGGAATCAGCATGCTATTTCCGAGCAACCCACTGAGCACCAAGTCGTTTCGCTTCTCCGCCCTCGCGAAAGAACGGACACCTCGTTCGTTCGAGACGCCCGTCTCGGGCTAAGACCGGAGAGTCTCCCCCTCCCAAACGGCGAGAAACTTCGGAACACCTCCTCGCCTGGCGAAGGGTGTTGGTCATGCCAAACAAGGTGCCGCAAACCGTGATCCCGAGGCCCGCCTGGCAGAGCGCGCGCTCTGCACGGGCATTTGTTTTCGACCGGTCGGCTTCGAGTGATTGGGGGGAGAACAGGGTAATCCGGGCGTATCCTGAAAGAGGTGAATCTGGTTCACTAGATGAGGGCCCCAGTGGGCTGTGTGGTGAAGCCTCGTAGCACGAAATGTGGCATTGGCATGCATTTCGCATGATATCCTGCAAAGGTCTTGGATACACGAACATGCCTAATGAGATCCTACGGGCGAGTTGCTCTGCAAACTCACCACATCAGTTGTAGAAGCCTTAAAATATTCCACCTGTGCTTCCAGTGTGGAGGCGAAAACAAACTCTGGCTGCTCCCTCCAAACCACCAGCCACCTTCATGTGGGTCCTCTTGTCCTCGTGGAAGAGCCCCCGCACGAGGCAGAAAATCTTGCGGGCGCTTCCTTCAGCCCGTTGAATCTCGTAGGACAACCAAAAGTACCTCGGATTTGAGCAGACTTGAGCTGAGTCGTTGACTCCCAAGCAGAAATGTCCAATTGAGTCTTAGGGGAAAAGAGTGCCAAAAGTACCTATATTATATATTACAGTATATACAAATATTATATAATACATAAATACAAATATATATCTTTATTTATTATATATATGTCGTCCAAACTGGGCAGCTCCCAAAAATAAGTACCTAGTCTTGGCCCGGCAAAATAGAAAGCAAGGTTGTTTTGCAAGCAAGGGACAATCTGGAAATCACAGTGTTCTGCTCGATGATATCCTCGATGCTATTACTTCTGGGAGGATCGCATCCCACCGCAAAGATCACCAAATCCCAGCCCTTCTTGGGTTCCGTAACCAATCGCTTCACATCCTCTTGAGTGAGGCTGTGGTAGTTCTCCACCACTTTCTTCATGCTAATTCGGCCCTCTGGAGCATTGGCGAGGAGATTCTTGCTATAGCCCAGCATATCTGCAAAGACAAGGATGTTCATCTTAGCTGGGGCATCTGGCTTTGGGATCTCCAAGAGCTCCTGCAGGCACCGCATTGCGGGTGTAGACGGGTAGACCAGACCATCAACAAAACCGATCGTATATTGGTCATGTGCAAAAGCTTGTTTCTTGGAGCTGCTCTGTCCACAAAGACAGATTTGCTGCAAATTCGTGGGTCGGAGGTTGTGGAGTCTGTCCTTGTATGTTAAGGCTCTCAGTCCACCCTTGGAAAGCTTCTGCCTAAAGAAAATTAAAGCAGTAGCTGAGACATGAGTCATTTACAAGGCTGTCAGTTGGCTGTTTGACTGCCTCATCCTGTCCTGCGACTGTGCTTTGACGTAAGGGTCCATCATCTTGGGCACGTGATATGACCGGTTGATCGTCTTCTCAATCTGAGCAACAGGGGCACTGATAGCATACAACATTGTACACAGAAGCTGTTTCACCTTCTGTGACTAGGGTGGCCACGAGCATGTCCATCGCAGAGCCATCTTTGGATTCCAGCGGCCTTGGGCAACCAAGCCCCAGGATCAATTCAGCAGCGCAGACAGAACGATGAAGCGAACACGCGTGAAAGAACACTTGAAGATCATCAAAAACACTTTTTGATATGTTCAGACTGCTTTCTGTCTGGTTTGCCTTCTTCCAGCTGAAAGCTGGGTGTCTGGCAGGTCCTCTTTAAACCATTCCACTGGCCAACACATATGGCCGTCCAGCTCGGCCATGGCCGCCTCGGCCACCTTCTCGTAGCTGCCCGCCATGGCGACACCGCGCGTGCAGACGCGCAGAGACCGCGGAGCCGGAGAAGAGCTGCTGTTGTCTGGGCCAAGGAGTGGGAGAAGAGCATGACCAGCAAGCTTGCAGCTCCCCGAAACGTGCTCCTTCACCATGATGTTAGCCATATTTGGCCATATCAAATCAATCTATATAAGTTGTTCCTATATTCAAGCATCTGTTTTCCTGCTGTGTTGGTGTCATCCTTACGTGAGCTACATTGGTGAAACTCACCCTGAAGCACAGCCCATGTCTCCCAGGGGTGAGGTTCCATAACCCACATCTGCGCGGTTCGCCAGTGATCTTCACTCGAAGACAGGGGATGCAAAATGGTTCACCGTCTGAGTCGCACTCCATCAGACCAGGCAGCAAAATGGTGCAAAATGGGCACCACATCACGATAAGCTTCCAATGACGTCTCGCAGTGGTCATCGTCATTCACATCAAAGGGGTGCTCAATGGATACAGTCGCACTGACTGTTGCCTCAAGCAAACAGCAACACCCTGTAGGAAACTGGGAGATGAACTGGCTTGGGCAAGACCCTGTGAGTAAAGCTCGCTGTTCTTGCTGATCTTTGTGAGTATCAAGGTTGGGACTTGAGACCATCAAGGAACTGAGGAGTGAGAGAAACGGTAGGCACCTTCATCTTCTTTTGGTCACAGTCAACAATAGCGGCTCTCTCCTGCAACAGTCTATTTCATTGAACTGGCTTGAACTGACAAAGTGGTGTTCAAAAAGCAGCCTCGTTTCTCTTTATTTCGCTTTACACATCTCGTTATTTGGCGTGTTGAACAAGTGCTCCTTCTTGGAAAAGCCTTTCCAACTTGCTTTCAGCTTTTTGTCAAAGCGCGGGTGTGATGGGTTCAAACGATCTGACAGCGTTCCTTGCACGCGGGCAGAGTCTGCATGAGTGTGTCCATCACAGCAGTCTGTGACATGTCTGTGACCCATGCCACAAAGTACTGCATCCGCTGAAAGTACAGCTGCGAACTCAAGGTTCAACTCTTTATTTGTTCTACATACGATCAAATGAACTTACGTACGTATCTCTGGCCCTTCCCTCTGCGTGAACGGCTTCTCCTCTGGCGTTGGGATCGGCCAAGTCATCCAGCACTTGGATCACCTCTGGCCAGAAGGCCTCTGCACCATCGTTGTGCTCACGGCCGCTTCCGACACGGTGAGCCAAGTAAGCGCCTCCGCAGCGTCCTTGGTCGACTTCGGTGGCGTGGTCTTCACCTTGGGAATCACCATTGGCGCCCACCAAGCCATTGGCGCCCACCAAGCCATTGAAAAGCCATGAAAAAGACAAAAAAAGAAGGTGCTCAGAAAAGGCCAAAAGCTTGTGACTGATGGACAAAGCTTCTGAAAAGACACGCCTTCCCTGCGCGCTTCGCTTTTGTCGGTTTCGCCTTCTTCTTCGCTCGACCTCTTGACAGCAGTACATGCCAGAGTTCCGTTGACTTTAGCATGAGCAAGGCTCCAAGGTCAAGGTCTGAAGTCTGACTTTCGTGCAACCTGCTTTTGATGGCGATCTGCATGTTGGACAAATGAAACGAGAACTGTCAAAGGCCAAGTGATCGGGCATCTCTGGTTTCGAGCCAAACCCACAGAGAAATCCTGTCCATTCTCTCCCTGCCTGAGGGCGGCTCACACGCCTCAGAGCAAACTCTGTGCTATGCTGGTTCAATAAAACTCAGAAACCAAGTCCAAGCGGTACAACCATCTGTCATACAGAGTCATACATTCACCAAAGGCAACACATTGTAATAGATCAACCTGTCGTTTGTTTCCTGGGTGGCACGAAATGAGAACCAACAGCAGCACCTCAGCGCCCTCGCCCTCGGCCCTCTGCACCGTCTGCACCGTCTCCTGCACCAGCTCAGCGTCGAGCATCATCGGCAGCAAACGGCCGCCCCAAAGGGGCGACGCGGACGACGTGTGGAAAAGGAGAGGGACGCGTCCGTGGACGCAACGAGTAGCGATGCCCGAAATGCTCCGTTCGTAGCGTCCTTGTTCCTGGTAGTAAGGCCAGGAGCCCCTAGTAGCCTAGTAGTGTCCTTGCTCCTAAAGAAGAGCCTCTGATGGTCGTTGTTCTCAGAATCTCCCACTCCTGCAGCTCTTTGGCCACTTTCCGGCGCTTCATAGCATCATCGGAAGCCGGTCTATGAGCCCTCCCTGCAAACGGCAGGGTCTTACACAGATTTAGATAATTTTAGATCTGGTTCTTCCATGTCGATGCGTTCAACTCGATCATTGCACAAAAGGATGAGTGCCCTGCTTACAAAGCATTGCGATGCACTGCCACTCGGGAGATGTTGCTCTTGAGCCACAGCATAGTTCCAGCCAAAGCGGATCCATTAGGTCTCACAAACCCTAGAATTTTTTAGATCATGGCTCTACCCCCAGGAACCAAAACTTGTGGTCTCTCATGCTGCAAAAGCTTTGCTGAATTGACCCAATGCCTCCGAATTGGCACTCAGGTGGTGACCTATCTAGAAGATCTTTGACCACACCTCAGCTTTCCAGCCACAGCGCAGCAGTTGCTTCTATTCTGTGCAAGTGTTCATAAACAGGTATCCTGGCGACTTCACTGGGGCGATGGCGTTCCTTGAAGCTGGGTATCACCTTGGGCTCTTGCACCTCAGACTCAGGTCCCCTGTAACTTTTTCTGCTTTGAGCATGAGAGGCTGAACACATTTGCCTC